CTTTTGTATTGTATGTTATTTATAATGAATTTATATATGGTGCACATATTATTATTGAAAATATATAGGATGTTTCTCAAAATTTAACTGCCGCAAAAAAAATAATTTGAATATTTCCATTATATTTTAACTGATTTCAGTTAATTATTTTTTTTTCTGATGATAAAAGAGAGATCTAAGTTTTTTGTTCTTATGAAAGAAATTCAAAAGAAATTTTCAAACCTATGAATCTGGACTGCAACACAAAAATTGGATTTTTTTCTTGATCTACAAATATATTTATGAGGAAGAGTCGTCGCAAATAATTAAAGATTTTTGAGTCCATACCTTTTCCAGTACCAGGAGATGCTGTGGTTTAACTGAGTTATCGATTTTCTAGTGAATTTACTTACATAAGGTACACGGAACAAAAATTAGATTTCAATCGAAGATAATTTGAAATCAATCAGAAAGTCTGAAAGAGTAAAAAAAACCTAAAGTCCAGAAAAATTTAAAAGAATCATTTCGAATCTGCTCTCTTCGATAGAATCCCGAATTTTTAATAAAATTTTATTATCGAATTCTGGTTTCAAACTTAACTCACACAAAATTCTTACTTAGACTAACGTGTGTAGAAAATTTTCAGAATATATACTTGTGAACTTCTCTTACGCGAATAAAATCTTGAATCTTTCTTCTATCTTTGTAATATTTAATATGCTAAAAGAGTAGTACATTCTATTCCAAATCTTGATGTAACTGTTGTTGTCATCAAGTTTTTCAATTATAGATTTTTGTAGTAAACTCCTCGTCCTGACAGAATCACTCGAGACTGCTAAAATCGACGGTTACAGAGTATACAGTGATTATGATCTCAGACATCGACGACAAATGAAAATAATATCTAGAAATTATCCTTAATCATAAGTGTTTGACGTCTGGAGAAACATTTTTATACGTAAACGACATATAACTAAGACTAATTTAATAGCATTTACGAAACTTTGTTCTAAAAACTGGAATTGTGTGGACACAATAGAAGTCCTAAGACTTCTAATATGATGGCGGGGATCTTCTATTACGAAGAATGGTTTAGTTAAACGTGATCCAATGATTCCCAATTAATAAAATTAGAAAATAGTATTGTGAATTATCATAATACATATTCAGTTTCAATTGAACATTTTAAAAAGAACTCATTGTTGACCATGAGAGTCGGTATTTGCAGTACTATGGATTTTATCGATATGTCAGGAACCATGTTCGGATATGTGACTACATATAATAGTGATAATTCAATGACAGCTAATCAGACTAAGACTTCAAATATCACTCTAATACTAACAGATAAGGTGATGGATACATGAAGATTACTATTAGAAGCTCATTACTGGTGCGGTTGGAAATTACATTACATTGTAGATAAATGATTTCGTTAATCGATTTACATTCCCAAACAGGTGACATATTCAATACTCTGACACTCAAACGTGCCAGACAATTGCTAATGTTCGAGTAGAATGTGTAATCTGAAGCACATGTATAATCAAAGTGGTAAAAAAAACTCGATCAAATAAATAGATTCTCATTGAATAATGAAACTCTTGTGTTAACTATGAGTTGTAATGTATTTTGGCATAAATAAATGAAGATAAAAACTAATCTGTCTATGTACTCGTAGCGCGTATATAAAATTATGATCATTACTCACAAAAAAAAATATTCGACTAAACTTTTCAATCTACTTTTTTTTGGTACTAAAACCATTAATGATCTTTGTATTCTTAATTTTTGTATTGAATGATTGATATACTTTAAAATATTTTAAATTAACAAAATATGTCTTGAAACTATCTAAAAATTCAACAATTCTGAAATAAACACATACGACAAATTTACTTAGGGCATATCAAAAGTAATGATCTTGGCAGATAAAGTCTTACATGAAAGAGTTAATCAAGTATTTGAGTTAGTAATCATGCTTAATCACGCACAATCAATTTATTTGAAGATATTTTTTTACAGTTATTTTTTAAATAATCTTTGATTAAAAAATTCATCATCTTAGTTACACAGCATTCCGTGTAGTGATTAAGAGTCGTTTGATTGATAAAATTTATCAATTAGATCGAGTACCTGAAAAATACGTTGTACTTTATCTGTAGAATAAGGTGGATGTAAAATAATTATTATGCATTCTAATACAGGATGGTCAAAGCATCTTGATGAATATGTAATTGAAGATTGATGTCTTGAGCTCTAGTCGATGATCTTTGTTTTTCCATTTTATTAATAAGTAGTTTTAAAGAATTATTGTTTTAGTATTTAGTGATTGGAAGTCTTCCATTTTTCCATATCTGCCAATTTTTTTTTAAAGAATATTTGACTAGTTGTTTTTAGAAATGACAAAAAACATTGTTTTGAGGCTAAATTACTGCACTAAACTGTAGATGATGGAAATTGTTCGATTATAGTTCTTCTACTAGTTCGAAGAATCTGAATCGATTTGTATGTAACGCATCCAGAGTCTGTCACCGACTAGTATTTCATGCATTTACTGTATTTCTTTAGTTAATTATATCCAATAAAATTTGATTGATTGAAATAGTTGCTGATTGGTATGATGAATTTTTTACTCAAAGATTATTCAAAAAATACTCTCGATAAATGTCTTCAAACAAATTGATTATGTATAACTAAATACTTGCTGAAACAAAAACTTGATTAATTCTTTCTTATGAAATTTTATCTGCCAAAATCACTATTCTTGATCTGTTCTCAGTATATCTAGGAACCATATAGTATCGAATTTATTTATATAGGTAAAATATTAATGAAAAGATTAATTTGGTTTGACATAATGATGAATCAATTTGACAAAAGAAAACAAATCCAAGGTGATTGTATAAATAATTGAAGGATGCCTAGGTGACAGTTAGTATACACTCAATATATATATATATATATATTACATGCATATTGAATCAGCTCCTAGTAACTAATATTTGATGGCCATATACGTATATATATATATATATAAAATCCCGGAACCCTATAAATTGGAAATTCTTTTTTTGAATATTAAAATACAGAAGTATTGATTAGAACCACAAACAATTCAAAAATAATAAAAGTTTTTTTCTACTTGTGGCTATCCAAAAGTAGTGGCGGAAGTACTTTAGTACTTTATAAAAAGGTTAAAGAAATTTTTTCTCTACATAGACAGATAGTAAAAACGACGCTCTATTTTTCTATACTATTACATCATTCTTCAAGTTATATCATAATAATAAAATTTTGATAACATCTGTCTTTCTGTCATATGTGACGGTTATATTAATGCTTCTTTAAAAAAAGGTGCAGCGTATATTTTTTTGAATAACTTCTGATAGAAACAAGATAGAGAGCTGCGATTTTCATCGTTCGAAAGAGGAGATGAAGACGCATCGAATCGTATATTATACAGTTTTTTTGATATGGTTTTTCTTCAAGGTTTTCAATTGGTCTCTTTGAAAATAAACCTAATCCATGAAGTGTCTGCAACACGTTTTCAATTGTCATGCACATATTCAAGTGATCCACAGAAGATCTACAAAACTACACAAGTTTCAGATGTTTAGAGTTTAATCATTCAGGAACTATAGGTATTGTAGTCAAAGCTCTAAACGATTTTTTTAATCATTTCTGTGAGAGAACCTTTTTTTCTGGTTTCTTTTTGATAAAAAAACTATTTATCTCATACGTAGAAGATGGATTAAACAAACTACAGACAACATACTAGGAAAACATATAATATACAATTCGATGTGTCTTCATCTCCTCTTTCGAACGATGAAAACCACAGCTCTCTATCTTGTTTCTATCAGAAGTTATTCAAAAAAAAATACACTGCACCTCTTTTTAAAGAGGCATTAATATAACCGTCACATATGACAGAAAGACAGATCTTATCAAAATTTTATTATTATGATATAACTTGAAGAATGATGTAATAGTATAGAAAAATAGAGCGTCGTTTTTACTATCTGTCTATGTAGAGAAAAAATTTCTTTAACCTTTTTATAAAGTACTAAAGTACTTCCGCCACTACTTCTAGATCGCCCCAAGTATAATCAATGAACGATATAAATAAATAGAAAACGCTGACTACATTTTTTTTTGAAATTTTAATCTATCTTTCATATTTATTATATATTTATATTTTCAAAACATTTTTGTTTTTTTCTATACATATGACACATCAAATATCTGTGCTATTATTTATATATAAGACATGGATGTTATAGTTTTCTTCTTCAGTCGTTCTCATTTTATCATTACATTGCAATTGATGCTGTCAATTGTCGACGCGCATCATTGCATCGTTAACGCACGTTGCATCAATATATCTCAGATGGAACCTTGAAAAACCCATCATAAGCATACATATATATATATATATATGTATATAGATAGTTTAATGACCTTCCGTGTTTATCGATAAAATATTGAAGAAGACAAGAATGAACACAGACAATTAATATTACCATTTTAGTGCTTCTCTTATCAGCACGAAAAAATAACCAAAATTATACGTTGGTTTCTTTTTTTTGTACTCGTTTTTTTTTCAAGGTAATCCATGATGGATAATGTGGCTTATGGTATAGAATAGCTTGCGAACGTGAAAAAAATGAGTATGGGACAATACGAAAGATATAGAAGTTAAAAACCATGAAAGGACGAATATACACATACATACATAAAGTAAAAATGCGTTGTTTCTTTTTTCTCTCGGCCTTTTACTCGCACTTTTTTTTTAATCGATCAACTTGTGCAATATTTTATATATATGTATGAACAAGTATGTTCGAGGTTATGATCTATTGCATCTAATAGTCTCAAAAAAGAACAAGAAAGTAGCCGTTATCGTCTGAGATTTTAACCTACTGATATGAATGCGATTTTGAAAAAAACCTAAATAATAATTTTTTTTTTGTCAGTCTTTCAGATGCGTAACAAAGAAAGAATAGTATTGTAGCCAGATGCCATTACAAGACGTATCAAATGATCCGACAATGATCGACTGGCTTCGCCAGTCTGGCCATGCACATGTGCTTGATGAACGACTTCTAAATCCTAATGTTTCGGCGTCTCCACCACCATTCAATATTCCATATGGACAATCAACATCATTATCTTCTCCAATACATGGTTTTAATATGGGTTATACTAGTAGTAGTCCTCAAATAAATTCTGTCAATCGATCATCATCATTTCTTCAACCACCTTATCATTCAACATCAAGTTATGAAGGCGCTGCTCATCCATTATCACCACTATTAGTAGCTCCATCATACGGTCATCAATCAAGTCCTATACATTTTACTTCATCTCCTACACAATTTCTTTCACCTGATACGAATCGACAACAAATTGATGCTGATATTGAAGTAAAATATTTACTATGATTAAATTTTCAATGAAATTTTAACTTGTATTCAATAATAGAATATGAAACGTGATCCAAATACCCGTGTTCTTCAACGTCCTCCACAAGAAGATGTTGTTTACAAACAACGAGTAAACGAAATTTTTCTTTTTTTTATATTAATTCATCATTGATAATAGGTCTTTGTGAGATATTTACAACCCCCAACACCACCTGTTGGTGGAACTATTATTGTTCGAGAAAAACAACCACCTGCACCAGCACCTGATCCACCTATTGCAAGGAAATATCATCTACGATTACTTTATAATAATTTCTGTCTTGCTTAGGTTATCAAGCGTGCTCCACCTGCACCTCCTACTCCACCACCAGTTACTATTCGCGAGGTCTACATTTTATTTTATTTTTTTCTATAATCTCCCCATTTCAATTCTTCCATTTAGCGTCCACCACCAATGCCATCTGCTGAAGGTTAACAATATTTTAGTTTTTATAGAGTTTTAAATGTTTCTTATTTTTCCAATATCGTAGGTACAACTGTAATTGATAAAATAGTTCCACCTGGACCAAAACCACCACGTCAAGTAATCATTGAACAATATCCACCATTACCACCGAAACCTCGAGATGTTATTATTGAACGATGGCTTCCATTGGCACCACGACAACGACGTATTCTTTATGAACGTTTACCACCTCCTATTCAACAAGCTACAAGACCAATTATTGTTCAATATGGTTCACCACATGTTCGTGTTCAACGTGAAGTTGTTATGGCACCTGCTACACAACTTCCTTATCAACAAGTAGCTTGTCATACGGATATCAATCAACTTTTAAGTCAAATTGGTGGTAATCAAGCAGTTTGTTCAACAGTAAATATAATATTTTATTTGATGTTACTTTATTTTTTATTTTTATTTAGTTGCCTCCTTCATCCCTTGTTTCCTATAATCCATATACATCAATACAACCGAATTGTGGTATTGTTGGTCAACCTCAACCAAATATTGTTATTTTGCAAAATGGACAATCAAGTACAATGCCATCATCAATTTATGGCATGCCACTAACTTGTGTATGTACACCAAGTCAAATTTCAGGTTTAGGTGCCTATGGTTGTGGTGTATCAACAGTACCAGCTAGTGGTCTATCAACTGGACAAACGGCAGTCTTCAATGTACCTGGTAAAAAATTAATTTCAACAAATTTAAATAAAGTGAAAAAATAATCATACTTTTTCCTTTGTTTCTAGACAATGTACCCATTGATAATGTTCTTCGTCAACTCGGCATTGATCCACATACTATACAACGTTCATCTAATGCTCCATTTCCAGGTATTTGTTGTCCTCATTTGCACGCTATTATCATAGTAGTATGTATCTAGTTATATTAGTAAATATGGATAGCATATATAGTCTACTAAATGCTAGTATAGTTAATTTCTATATTTGTAAAATAGAATAGATTGATATTATTTTTATAGATGTAGTATTAACATATTAAGTAGATGTAACAATTAGAGGAAAATTCTTTTATATCATACATCTCTTCTATTCAGATCCGCAGAGTGCCGTTTCAAACGTGTGGAATGCAATTTCCCATGCAAGCCCATCATATCCAATGGGTTAGATTCGATTTTTTTTTGCTTTTTTCCTATGATCATTTTTTTCATGATCAGATCCTAGATCCGCAGTATCACATGTTTGGAATGCAGCTTCTCATGCAAGTCCGCCACATTCAATGGGTTAGATTCAGCTTTTTTTCTTTTTTTCTATGATTGGTTTTTTTTTATGATCAGACCCTAGGTCCGCAGTATCACATGTTTGGAATGCGGCTTCTCATGCAAGTCCATCATATCCAACGGGTTAGATTGGATTTTTTTTTGCTTTTTTTCCTATGATCATTTTGTTTTTCATGATCAGACCCTAGGTCTGCAGTATCGCATGTTTGGAATGCAGCTGCCCGTGCAAGTCCATCATATCCAACGGGTTAGATTGGATTTTTTTTCCTTTTTTTCCTATGATCATGTTTTTTTTCGTGATAAGATCCTAAGTCCGCAGTATCACATGTTTGGGATGCAGCTGTTCATGCAAATCCATCATTCCCAATGGGTTAGATCCGATTTTCTTTTTTTGTATGATTATTTTGTTTTTCATGAAAAGATCCTAGATCCGCAGTATCGAATATTTGGAATGCAGCTTCCCAA